GCCTATTTTAACCCCTATCATGTGAGAGTAATTCTACTTTGTTTTTAATAAATTATTTATGACAGTCCACACTCAGAGGCGCCTTCCTTCTCTATTTTTTTGCATGTATCCAGAAAAAGTTCAAGAAGACAACTAGTTCGTAAGAGGTGTGAAAGAGGCTGAATGTTGCTTCACTGCAGAAGACAACTGAGAAACTGACACTTTCAGGAGGGTCAGTCTCCATGGTCCACCCCTTGCTCACTGGTACCTCCTGCTAGAAGGTCACAGGAACACACAGTAATGGCCTGGAAATGAGCAGAAGGAACCAGTGAGAGCTGTGGCGGTCCATTGAGACTGACGCTCCCGGAAGTTTCAGTTTTCCAGCAGATTTTGGAGGACCATTCTTCAGTTATGGAGCCACGTTCAGCTGCGTAGGCAGCGGAAGAGATAAATAATGAGTCTCTTCTTTGCAGGTACAGTCATGGCCGAAATTGTTGGCACCCTTGATATTTTTCCTGAAAATCAAGTATTTCACACAAAAAAGGTATTGCATTAACACATGTTTTGCTATACACATGTTTATTCCCTTTGTATGTATTGGAACAAATATAAAACAGAGGCAGAAAAGCAAATATGACATAATGTCACACAAAACCCCAAAAATGGGCTGGACAAAAGTATTGGCACCCTTAACTTAATATTTGGTTGCACACCCTTTGGAAAACATAACTGAAATCAGTCGCTTCCTATAACCATCAATAAGCTTCTGACACCTCTCACCCGGAATTTTGGACCACTCTTCCTTTGCAAACAGCTCCAGGTCTCTCTTATTGGAAGGACACCTTTTCCCCAACAGCAATTTTAAGATCTCTCCACAGGTGTTCAATGGGATTTAGATCTGGGCTCATTGCTGGCCACTTCAGAACTCTCCAGCGCTTCTTTGCCATCCATTTCTGAGTGCTTTTTGACGTATGTTTGGGGTCATTGTCCTGCTGGAAGACCCAGGATCTTGGACGCAAACCCAGCTTTCTGACACTGGGCCCTACAGTGCGACCCAAAATCCTTTGGTAATCCTCAGATTTCATGATGCCTTGCACACAGTCAAGGCACCCAGTGCCAGAGGCAGCAAAACAACCCCAAAACATCATTGAACCTCCACCATATTTTACCGTAGGTACTGTGTTTTGTTCTTTGTAGGCCTCATTCCGTTTTCGGTAAACAGTAGAATGATGTGCTTTACCGAAAAGCTCTATCTTGGTCTCATCTGTCCACAAGACGTTTTCCCAGAAGGCTTTTGGCTTACTCAAGTACATTTTGGCAAACTGTAGTCTTGCTTTTTTATGTCTCTGTGTCAGCAGTGGGGTCCTCCTGGGTCTCCTGCCATAGCGTTTCATTTCATTTAAATGTCGACGGATAGTTCGCGCTGACACTGATGCTCCCTGAGCCTGCAGGACAGCTTGAATGTCTTTGGAACATGTTTGGGGCTGCTTATCCACCATCCGGACTATTCTGCGTTGCAATCTTTTCATCAATTTTCCTCATCCGTCCACGACCAGGGAGATTAGCTACAGTGCCATGGGTTGCAAACTTCTTGATAATGTTGCGCACTGTGGACAAAGGCAAATCTAGTTCTCTGGAGATGGACTTGTAACCTTGAGATTGTTGATATTTTGCCACAATTTTGGTTCTCAGGTCCTCAGACAGTTCTCGTCTCCTCTTTCTGTTGTCCATGCTTAGTGTGGCACAGACAGACACACAATGCAAAGGTTAAGTGAACGTCTCTCCTTTTTATCTGCTTTCAGGTGTGATTTCTATATTGCCCACACCTGTTACTTGCCCCAGGTGAGTTTACAGGAGCATCACATGCTTGTAACATTCTTATTTATCCGCAGTTGTGAAAGGGTGCCAATACTTTTGTCCAGCCCATTTTTGGAGGTTTGTGTGACATTATGTCGAATTTGCTTTCTTTCCTCCTTTTTTTGTTTTGTCCCAATACACACAAAGGGAATAAACATGTGTATAGCAAAACATGTGTTAATGCAATACGTTTCGTGAGAAATACATGATTTCCTGGAGAAATATCAAGGGTGCCAACAATTTCGGCCATGACTGTATGTACTTTTTCCCACAGAAAAAAAGCAAGGGAGAATGTGCAATCTCACAACATACAATATATTGTAGATCCAAATTAAATCTTATTTTTACCATTATACCTTTTACATATTCATATTATTAAATAACAATACAATTGGCTTGACATTCAATGCTGTACAAAAATATAGTCAGAAAAAGTCAGCTCCATAATGACAAGAATAATTCTTAAGTCCATATCATATAGTTTTTATCACGAGGATCAAAAAGATACTTGAGATTCCAGATCTAAAGCAATAATTTCAGCAACAGAGCAAAAACACTTAATGGCATGAGGGTGCCATGATGGAATCCAAGACTTCCTCTATTGCAAATGTAATTGTAGGTTGTGGTTATTCCGCTGGTGGTGAAAGTCTGGCTGGTGAGACTGCAGATACTTTTTGTGGCACAGCCACGAAATGCCAATTCAGATGTTTGATACCCTGGGGGAAAGATAGGAAATGTTGTTTACAATTTGACAATAGCATTTTTAGCATCCTATTTGTAAAGAGACTGCAATATTACCTTCCAATTCAGGACCATAACGTCTTATTGGTGGCATAACGCCCATATAGGCAGGCTAGGTGGGGTGTCCATGGCCATTCAATCTCGAAATGCATCGGATGCTTGACTATTACCTGATTATATAAAATACTACCCATGTGGATCCCCTATAACTATAACCACTAACGTTTGCAGAACTGTTTTCAAGATTCATGTAAAAATAAACTATTTGAAATTTTTTTTAAATGTTTTGTCTTTGATATCTTGGCTCATTGATCAGTGCTGCCTCATAGTCCCATTGTTTCAGGGGAACAGAATTTTATTTCATGCACTAATTTGCATGCATAAATAAATTGCCCCATTGTTGGTGTAAGTGGGAGCAATAATGCTCCACTGTTGGTGTCAGTGGGAGCAATAGTGCCCCATTGTTAGTGTCAGTGGGAGCAATAGTGCCCCATAGTGTTGTTGGTGTCAGTGGGAGCAATAGTGCCCCATTGTTGGTGTCAGTGGGAGCAATAGTGCCCCATTGTTGGTGTCAGTGGGAGCAATAGTGCCCCATTGTTGGTGTCAGTGGGAGCAATAGTGCCCCACCGTTGGTTTCAGTGGGAGCAATAGTGCCCCACCGTTGGTTTCAGTGGGAGCAATAGTGCCCCACTGTTGGTGTCAGTGGCAGGAATAATCCGAAAAAAGTTATAACAAAATTAATGAATGCATTTGTTTAATTCAGATGACCTCACATGATGCGATAGTAGTTTGCATCCAATCCAGATAGCGCATGGATCTGAACTTCAGTCCATTTGTTAATTAACCTCCCTGGCGGTCTGATTATTTCAGATTTTTTGTGCTGAAAGCGGTACCATTTTTTTGCATGGAAATATGTAGTTTTTTATTGTAGGCTGTAATTTTTAGGAATAACTCACTGGAATCTGTCCGAACAAGAGTCTAGTAAACATCCCGGGGAGGATAAAATTTGAAACACGAAATTATAAATTATAATATAATAAATAATCATAAAAAATAATAATATAATAATAATCAATTTAATTCAATAATATAATCAAACCAAAAACACTGAAATTTGAAATACAGAGGCAAATTCGCACATCGCTGAGCAAAGTCGCAGAATCGTTTTCAGTGTCTGATGACGAATTTCCCCCACGAATCATTATCACTCAATTCTGCAAGTGGTTCTGATTTACTACCGCTGTTCTAAAACCGCTTTTGACGTAAAGGGACGCCTTTTGGACGCCATGGACTTTTCTAAGTTTCCAGGCAGAAAGAACATTCAAAATGCAGACAGGGCGCAGGACAAAGCAGTAGGAACAAAATATATGTGAAATGCATTGAAACAGCAATGACAGCAAAAGTGAAATTTTTTAAAAATTTCAAATTTCCCGCCGGTTCCGGCGCCTGTACGTCCCGAAGTCACAGGGACCAGAACACGGAAGCCGGCATCGGCCGGAGGAGATGGCCGGGGACGCTGCAGGGGTCACATCACGGGAGCGAAGGACAAGGTAAGTGCTGCAGGGACCCCCTGAGCAACGCCGCATGGTAAGCTGAGTGTAGCTCGGGGTTACCGCTCTTGGTATAGAAATTTTACCCCGAGCGACACTCGGGAAAACCGCTAAGGAGGTTAAGCAGCAGTTGGTCCAACACCAATTGGAGCATGGAAGTATGGGGGAGGCGCAGGAGATTTGATAATTTTGTTAAGTAGGGTGTTGAATTTCAATTGGGAGTCCAGTTTCTATAAAGAAATGGTCATAAAGCACCTATATTTCATGTTTTTCAGCGTTAGAGCATTTTTAGAGCTAAAAAAACTCCTCTAGAAACCCACTAGTTCTGAATTTTTTTTCCAACCAAAAAACGTTCCAGCCAAAAAACGTTGATTACAGTCTTTGTGTGCATGTGGACATAGGATAACATGCTGGGGGGTTTACTGGCTGTAGAAAAAAACGTCAAAACACAAAAACAGCCGCTGTAAAAAACGTCCCGACTAAGGCCTAAGGACTGTAGGAAGTAGGGTGTTGAATTTTAATTGGGAGTCCAGTTTCTATAAAGAGATGGTCATAAAGCACCTATGTGGTCAGTGTATGATGAACCTGTTAGGGAGAACTGACAATTTTGTGCAAGAAATACTTTTTAAAATGTTTTATTTCTTTAACTTTTTGACTCTTTTTAACTCCCTTAAGAAGCCCTTGTCTTCCCATGCCTTTTGCTTGACAATAGTGTGCTTGTTAGCCCTACGAAAGGCCAGAATTGATTAACAACCTTTCTAGACTTCAATGGGTTTCACTGCAAAATGCATGAACTTTGAACTTCAAGCAAGATTTCCAAACTTCAGTCATTCCTAATCAAAACATGTATTCCAGATGCATGTAATGCACCAGCATACTGTATAGCAATGTTGTATTATCTGAAAGGTTATGGTTGAGACCAAGGGCGGACTGACCATTTGGAAACTCGGGCACTGCCCGAGGGCCTGGAATCAGTAGGGGGCCCCATGAGATGCCCCTGGTACCTTTTTCATAGGCTTTTTTGAGTTTGGGCAAGGACACAGGGGCCCCATGATCCCCTCTTGCCCGGGGGCCCATTGAGTTGTCAGTCCACCGGACAATGGGCTACTCCTATAAATCACAAGATGCAGCGCTATAAACTAAAACATATTAATGCATGAATCAGAGAATCAATCATAAATAACTGAACAGTTAAAAGTTCATATAATAGGTGACTTTAGTGCTCTCCTCTATTTCATATCCTCCTGGTGGTCAGGCGTTGTGCAAAATAGTGCTGAAGAAGTGCACACTCACCAGAACGCACAGGTATATGAGCGTTTTATATAGATTCCCCTTTAGGATCATCGACTGGACACGCTGTGATATTAAGACCACCTCCTTCCAGAGCTCCTAGATGTTCCTGTATAATCCCTTGTTAGGTGACCTGCGGACTTCTCCTTAGGATTGGTATACGATTCGTACCCCGCAAAGAGATGGGTGACTAAAATGGGTACTCCCCACGGGAGTCAAAACAAAACATATCCATAGTGTAGTAGGTCATATAAAAGAATTTATTAAAAGCTCAACAATCCGTGTACACGGCAGTATATAGACAGTGTGGACTAACCGTCCAGTGATAAAGATGACCGCCGGAGCTCCACGATGCTCCGGCGGTATGACGTCACGGCGTTCCTGGCTCCTGGTTCCTGGAGGAGCCAGGAACGCCGTGACGTCATACCGCCGGAGCATCGTGGAGCTCCGGCGGTCATCTTTATCACTGGACGGTTAGTCCACACTGTCTATATACTGCCGTGTACACGGATTGTTGAGCTTTTAATAAATTCTTTTATATGACCTACTACACTATGGATATGTTTTGTTTTGACTCCCGTGGGGAGTACCCATTTTAGTCACTCATCTCTTTGCGGGGTACGAATCGTATACCAATCCTAAGGAGAAGTCCGCAGGTCACCTAACAAGGGATTATACAGGAACATCTAGGAGCTCTGGAAGGAGGTGGTCTTAATATCACAGCGTGTCCAGTCGATGATCCTAAAGGGGAATCTATATAAAACGCTCATATACCTGTGCGTTCTGGTGAGTGTGCACTTCTTCAGCACTATTTTGCACAACGCCTGACCACCAGGAGGATATGAAATAGAGGAGAGCACTAAAGTCACCTATTATATGAACTTTTAACTGTTCAGTTATTTATGATTGATTCTCTGATTCATGCATTAATATGTTTTAGTTTATAGCGCTGCATCTTGTGATTTACATTGTTTTGAGGGTGTATGGTACCTAATGTTCAGCTGCTATTCCATAGATGCGCTCGTATTTATTCTTTTTGAATGGGCTACTCCTATTTGCTCCCTTTGTTAAGACCCTGGTCGCACTGGGTGCAACTTGGCATGCGATTGACATGCCATGCGACTTGCAAATTGCATGCCAAGTCGCACCCTATTATCCGCAATTACAGCAGTCATATCGGTGCGGTTCCAACTTGGTCGGAGCCGCACCGATTTCTAAAGCAGTGCATGCACTACTTTTGGTGTGATTTGCAAGACATCTGACGCAGATGTCTATGCAAATCGCACTTCAAAACGCAATGACATCCCGACTTTGATTTCAAAGTCAGGATCGATGTGACCGGGGTGTAAACATACAGTTGAAAATGTTTTGTTATATCTATTCTAAAAAGTGCAAAAAAATACTGCTGATCTACAAAACTACATTAAAACAATTCACCTGTACAAAAGTTGAACACTCACCTGTCTGGAGGACTATGCAGCCTGTAAATAAATATCAATGTAGACTGAATTATACATGGAATTATTTACCTATATCAGTTTTAGCAAGGCGCATGCACACAGTTTCATTGCCTGCACACAGCATGCTGTTGTCAGTACACTGGTCACTGTTAATTGACAAACACTGCGGACATGATAATCCATTTTGTGCGTTGGTATTGTATTGTGGTACTGCGCAAACGAAAAAGAACGAGGGGAAAATATTAATATATAACATATTGCTAGATAAGTTGATGTGGGGTAAGGGAAGAAGAGAACAAAAAATGAGAGATGGGGATGGGAAGTAAGGAGAAGAGGGGAGAGAAGAGGTGGAAGGAGAGGAGGGTAGGAAAAAAGAATGGTGAATAGAACTGAGGACGTAGAGGAAGGGAGGAGTGTGGCTTGGAAAATGAAGGGGGGGGGGGGGTAAGAAGAGAAGGGGAATGGATAGAAAATAAGGGAGGAAAAGTAGGGAAAGGGTTTGGAGGTGAGGAGAGGAGAATAGAGGAGAGGATAGAGTGCAATGGTTGGAAGGGGAAAATGAGAAGATTGAAGAGGAAAGGTTGGGAAGAAGAAAAGTGAGGATGGGATAGGTAAGGGTGGGAAGGAGATATTAAGGATAGGAGAGGAAAGAGTAGGGAGAGGAGTTGGGGGGGGGATTGGAGAGGAAAGGGTGGAAAAGAGAGACTAGAGGATGGAAGAGAAAAGGAAAAGAATGGGAGAGGGCAGGATGAGAAAAGAAAGGCTGGGAAGGAGAGATTATAGGATGGGAGAGAAAGGGTGGGAAGAGGAGAGTATTGGAGAGGAAAGAGCGGAAAAAGAGACCAGAGGACGAAGGAGGAAAGGGTATGAATGGAAGAGGGGATGATGGGAGAAGAAAGGGTGGGAAAGAAAAATTTTAGGATGGGAGAGGAAAGGGTGGGAAGAGGAGAGGGGAGGATTGAAAAGGAAATCATGGGAGAGAAAAGGATGGGAAGAGCAAAGAGAGGAATGAAGAGAAAGGGTGGAAAAGAGAGATCAGAGGATGGAAGAGGAAAGGATACAAATGGGAGAGAGGAGGATGGGAGAAAAAATGTGGGAAGCAGAGATTAAAGGATGGGAGAAAAGGGTTGGAAGAGGAGAAGGGAGGATTGAAAAGGAAATGATGGGAGAGAAAAGTATGGGAGAGAAAAGAATGGGAAGAGCAAAGAGAGGAATGAAGAGAAAGGGTGGAAAAGAGAGATCAGAGGATGGAAGAGGAAAGGATACAAACGGGAGAGAGGAGGATGGGAGAAGAAATGTGGGAAGCAGAGATTAAAGGATGGGAGAGAAAAGGGTTGGAAGAGGAGAAGGGAGGGTTGAAAAGGAAATGATGGGAGAGAAAAGTATGGGAGAGAAAAGAATGGGAAGAGCAAAGAGAGGAATGAAGAGGAAAGGGTGGAAAAGAAAGACTAGAGGATGGAAGAGGAAAGGGTACAAATGGGAGAGGGGAGGATGGGAGAAGAAATATGGGAAGGAGAGATTAAAGAATGGGAGAGAAAAGGTGGGAAGAGGAGAAGGAAGGATTGAAAAGGAAATGATGGGAGAGAAAAGAATGGGAGAGAAAAGAATGGAAGAGCAAAGAGAGGAATGAAGAGGAAAGGGTGGAAAAGAAAGACTAGAAGATGGAAAAGGAAAGGGTACGAATGGGAGAGGGGAGGATGGGAGAAGAAATATGGGAAGGAGAGATTAAAGGATGGGAGAGAAAAGGGGGAAGAGGAGAGGGAAGAATTGGAGAGGAAAGGGTGAAAAACAGAGACCGGAGGATGGAGGAGGAACAAGTACAAATGGGAGAGGGGAGGATGGGAGCAGAAAGGTTTGGAAGGATATTATAGGATGGGATAGGAAAGGGTAGGAGGAAGAGAGAGTGGAAAAGAGACATCGGATGAAGGAAGAAGAAAGGGTAAGAATGGGAGAGAAAAGGTGGGAAGAGGAGAAGGAAGGATTGAAAAGGAAATGATGGGAGAGAAAAGTATGGGAGAGAAAAGAATGGGGAAGAGCAAAGAAAGGAATGAAGAGGAAAGGGTGGAAAAGAAAGACTAGAGGATGGAAGAGGAAAGGGTACAAATGGGAGAGGGGAGGATGGGAGAGAAGAAATATGGGAAGGAGAGATTAAAGGATGGGAGAGAAAAGGTGGGAAGAGGAGAGGGAAGGATTGGAGAGGAAAGGGTGAAAAAGAGAGACCGGAGGATGGAGGAGGAACGAGTACAAATGGGGAGAGGGGAGGATGGGAGCAGAAAGGGTTGGAAGGATATTATAGGATGGGATAGGAAAGGGTAGGAGGAAGAGAGAGTGGAAAAGAGACATCGGATGAAGGAAGAAGAAAGGGTAAGAATGGAAGAGAAAAGGTGGGAAGAGGAGAAGGAAGGATTGAAAAGGAAATGATGGGAGAGAAAAGAATGGGAAGAGCAAAGAGAGGAATGAAGAGGAAAGGGTGGAAAATAAAGACTAGAGGATGGAAAAGGAAAGGGTACAAATGGGAGAGGGGAGGATGGGAGAAGAAATATGGGAAGGAGAGATTATAGGATGGGAGAGGAAAGCGTTGGAAGAGGAGAGGGGAGGAGAGTAGAGTAGAAAAGAAGAGAAGATAGAATAAGTGGGAGGGAGGTGAGAGAAAAGGATAGAAGAAGATGGAGAGACAAGAGTAGAAGGGCTGGGAATGGTATAGTGAAAAAAATAGAGAGGGGATGAGAGGATAGGGCAAAAGGAAAGAGGGAAAGGGTGGGATTGGTAGAGAGCTTTCAGAATACTTACATGTAGGCATATTGGGGTTACATTTATTGCTTTCTGAGCAGCATGAAGTTGCCATCCTTAGGGAGCCTCCTGGGAAAGTGCTGCTTCCAGTCATGTTACATTGATATGTTGGAGAACATGATCTGAACATATTTGTAGAATGTGTTCCATCTGTGTGAATACGTGGAAAACAGAGGCTTTAGTTGAAAATGTACTATTAATCTATATTATATCTATTTTTTATGATATTTTGTGTGTTCAGGGTAGCTATAAACTGATTTTTTCAGTTACAAACTTCTAATAAAAGATAAAGTCATAATAAGAAAATATCATGAGTATTAGTTTTGTTCTGATAAACAATAAAACAAAAGTGACTTCCTTTTCTTTGAAGCC